CACGGACGAGATCAATTTTTGAAAAAATCAACACGTCAGATAGGCTATGAGTGAAGTCATGCAAATGTGGGAGAGGGTATCTATCTGGTATGGTCCGGCTGTTGAGAGCTCTATAGTCACCGCACGGTCCAACTTCGGAAGAGTTTTTCTTAGGTACCATATGGAGCGGTGATGCCCACGGACTACCGGAGGGGCGTATGATGCCCAACTCAATCATTTTGTTGAATTCGTTCTTTGCGATAGCCAGACGAGAGTGGTCAAGGCGTCTTGGACGTGCGAACACTGGTGGACCCTCTGTCTTTATGTGGTGTACGACGGTATGCGTCGGTTTGTCGTGTTTGAAACTCGGTCGTAATAAGTCTGGAAACTGATTAAGTAAATTGACGTATTTGTCGTCCTTGTGATGAGGTTTAACTAATAAATGTATGGAAGTCTCATTCGATATAATTCCTCTAATTTCCTTACTCTGTTCGGCAAAGACAAGTTTCCTATTTCTGACGTCTACCAGTATTTTGTGGAATTGCAGAAAACCAATGCCGATTATAGGAACGAGGACGTCCGCTATGATGAAACTCCAGGAAAAATTAGATTTAGGACCGAAATTTAATTGCAACCGCCTTTTGCCATACGTCTTGATATCAGACCTGTTTGCTGCTTGTAGTTTTAGTTTGGGGTCAGGTGTGTTTTTCTCGAGTGCAGTAGGTGGTACTACACCAACCTCTGCCCCAGTGTCGACTAAAAACTGTGTGCCGGTTTTTTTGTCTGTAACACATAATAGACGACTGTCTTGAGAGTTGTGGTCAGTGAGTGCAGTCGTCATTAACCTGTGGTCTTGACGTCCCCTTTTCTGTGTGCTTGCAAAGTTACAAGGCGGAGTACATTTTCTAGCTTGTTTGCCATATGTTCTATGGTACCAACAAATGTTGTGTCTAGTAGTGCTTGGACTAAGTCGTTTACGGCTTGTGAATATTCCTCTACGCTTACTGTGAGAGGCATTTAATAATTGGATCTGAGCTATCTGCACTTGTTCAATGACGTCGTGAGTTTGCGCAGTGAGTTTGTGTAACTAAATTTAGTACTCTGATTTGTGATTTTGTTTGCAACAAAAAAGCTTTCTAAGTGAGCAAACCAGAGTTCAGCCTTTCGTGGATTAAAAATAGGCAAAGGTACAGAAATGGCACCCACGGAAATAGATTTAGATGATAGGCTTAGCAAATTATCAACTGACATGGTACGAAGGAGCAATAATAATAATAAACTGAGGTTTGAAATATACAATATGAAGAAATCAAAAATAACAACAAAAAATATATAAGACTCACAGAAAAGAAAAATTGTCACTTTGGGTATATATATGAGAATATACAGTAATAATTCCAAAGGGAAAATGTTATGAGTGAATTTATTTTGACTGTCAATGGATTGTTATTAATTATAATGATAATTCCAATATGAAGTTCTTTATGATACTCTTGAGGAGAATGCAGCAGGCTTTGTAGGAAAATGGTGCGCGTTCTAAAGGCGGGTCACCAATATGTTGAGGCTAATGTCCTCAATAAACGAAAATGGTGAGAGGTTTGCAAACCTATGTGCCTTCAATAAACTGGTCATAGGCGGCACCATATTCCCACATAAACGCATACACAAAACCACATGGACTTCAACGGATCACTCTACACAAAACCAAATCGACCATATTTGCATCAACAAAACGTTCAGGAGGACGATGGAAGACGTAAGAACCGAGAGAGGAGCTGATATAGCATCAGATCATCACTTGCTGGTCGCCAAGATGAAATTGAAACTCAAGAAGCACTGGACAACGGGGCAGACAGTATCACAAAAGTTCAATACGGCCTTTCTTCAGGACACTCACAAACTCAACAAATTCAAGATAGTCCTCAGCAATAAGTTCTAAGCCTTTCATGATCTACTCAATGGAGAAGGAACTACTATGGAGAGCAACTGGAAGGGGATCAAAGAGGCAATCACTTCAATATGTCATGAGGTCCTGGGCCACAAGAAGCACCATCACAAGGAATGGATCACTGTTGATACACTGGATAAGATTCAAGAAAAGAGGAACAAGAAAGCAGTAACCAATACCAGTCGAACAAGAGCAGAAAAAGTCAAGGCACAAGCTGAATACACAGAAGTTAACAAACAAGTAAAGAGGAGCATCAGAACTGACAAACTTAAATATGTGGAAGATTTAGCAACGACGGCGGAAAAGGCTGCAAGAGAAGGAAACATGAGACAACTGTATGACACGACAAAGAAACTCTCTGGAAATCGCCGCAAACCAGAACGACCAGTGAGAAGCAAGGAGGGCGAGGTAATCACCAACATTGAAGAGCAACAAAACGGGTGGATAGAACACTTCAAAGAACTCTTGAATCGACCAGTGCCACTGAACCCACCCAACATCGAAGCAGCACTCACGGACCTCCCAATCGATGTTGGCCCACCAACAATTGAAGAAATCAGCATGGCCATCAGACAAATCAAGAGTGGCGAAGCAGCAGGACCAGACAACATTCCAGCAGAGGCACTGAAAGCAGACGTAGCGGCAACTGCAAGGATACTCTACATTCTCTTCAATAAGATTTGGGATGAGGAACAAGTACCGACAGATTGGAAAGAAGGACTTCTGATCAAAATACCGAAGAAAGGCGATCTCAGCAACTGTGATAACTACAGGGACATCACTCGTCTCTCAATACCCGGAAAAGTCTTCAACAGGGTATTGTTAAACAGGATGAAGGACTGCGTAGACGCCCAACTTCGTGACCAACAGGCAGGATTCAGCAAGGATAGATCATGTACAGACCGAATCGCAACTCTACGGATCATTGTGGAACAATAAATTGAGTGGAATTCTTCACTCTACATCAACTTCATTAACTACGAAAAAGCATTTGATAGCATGGACAGGACAACACTATGGAAGCTTCTTTGATACTACGGCGTGCCTCAGAAGATAGTCAACATCATACGGAATTCATATGATGGATTTAACTGCAAAATTGTGCATGGAGGACAGTTGACAAAGTCGTTCGAAATAAAGACCGGTGTCACGCATGGTTGCTTACTTTCACCCTTTCTCTTTCTCCTGGCGATCGACTGGGTCATGAAGACGTCAACATCTGAAGGGAAACGCGGGATACAATCGGTACCTAGGATGCAGCTGGACCATATAGACTTCGCAGATGATCTGGCTTTTCTATCCCGAACGGAACAACAAATGCAGGAGGAGACGTCCAGTGTAGCAGCAGCCCCAGCAGCAATAGGTCTCAATATACACAAAGGGAAAACCAGGATTCTCCGATACAACACAGAATGCACCAATCCAATCACAATCGACGGAGAAGATTTCGAAGATGTAAAAACCTTTACATATTTGGGCAACATCATTGATGAACAGGGTGGATCTGATGAAGATGTGAAGGCGCGGATCGGCAAAGCAAGAACAGCATATTTACAACTGAGGAACATCTAGAACTCAAAGCACCTGTCCACAAACCAACACCAAGGTCAGGATTTTCAATACAAATGTCAAGACAGTTCTACTGTATGGAACAGAAACCTGGAGAACTACGAAATCCATCATTGAGAAAATGCAGGTGTTTATTAACAGTTGTCTAGTCATTGGAGTAAAAGCTTGTTATCGACTTAGTGTTTACTGACCGAACATTGATTAGTTCGTTGAGTATAATAATAAAGAGGTGTTTCTCTTGCAGGTGGAGAGGTAAAATATTAGAAATATATCCTCAACAAAACATGAGCATTTTTCGGCTGTTCGTCTGATCAGTTGGCAAATATTCGGGTCATATTCTAGAGATGGAATTCTAGAAACTATAAAAAAAATTCACATTCAATATCTATGTATATAATAAAGTGTTATAACTTGTAGTCGCCTATTAGAGGGCAGTGACGTATCGATCGAACCAAGGACGCGTAAACACGTGCGAGCAGTCTAGAGTCCTGATTGGTCCTCAAATGGACCCCAAAATTACTATTCATTATTCCTGACGGGACATAACACACCTCCCATTTTTTGAAGATCCGGAGTTGATATCCGGATTTTAAATTTTCCGAGTCCATGTGACTTATTTCCTGGTAAAAGAGAATCTCAATAGTTAGGTTCGTCAGAAACCTCTGTCGCAGAATGATGAGATCCATTTGGAGCAGCTGCATTCAGTGTACTGCTCAATTTGTTTTCTGTTTCATGAGCGGTTATTGCAACAATTCTATGAACATTTAACAGGGTGTCTGTTTTTGAGCTGGATAAGTCACTGTCTGCATATGCTTTTCCGGGGATCTTCAATACAAACGTCAAGACAGTTCTACTGTACGGATCTGAAACTTAGAGAACTACTACAACCATCATCAACAAGGTACAAATATTTATAAATAGCTGTTTATACAGGATATTGAATATTCATTGACTGAATGCTATCCGCAACAGCCTATTGTGGCAAATAACAAACCATATTCCATTTGAAAAGAAAAATAGGAAAGACTCTAGAGGTGAATAGGACATACATTACGGAAATCATCAAACTTCATTACGAAACAAATGATAACTTGAAATCTTGAAGGGCGACAGAAAAGTAGAAGACTAAAGCATATACTACACCGGGAAAGTGAATCAGACATTGTAAGCCATTAGAAACAACTGTAAATGTTTTTACAAGACAAAGTTGGATGAAGTGTGTTGGTGAGTGATTTGTGCTTGACTTTAATTTTTCTATAATTTATTTTAAATATTTCCAGTTGTTGAGATTATGAGTCGATTAAAGCTAGACTACTATGGAAAACATGGAAGCACTGAATGGCTGTTTCGTCTTATTGTGGGACTCTTCAGCAGTGAATATCCACGAGTTCGCCTCGCGAGATCTCCATCAAATTTAATTGATAATTGTTAGTTAACAGATAGATAGATAGATAGATAGATATCCAAGACTAAGGCATTCGTTATTCTTTTCTTTCTTTTCAAGGATTCTCCCTATTCAAAACAAAAACAAAAAAGAAAAAGAATAAAGAAAAAAAAAGAAAAGTATCATTTGAAGAAAAAATGGTTTTAGAATTTGGCCTCGGTTTTATAGATCGTTTAACCGGTGCAAAAACGACTGCCTATACACATTTAGAAGATTTAGCTGATAGATTAAATCATTTTATTAGTTGTGTTATAATATTAATGTTATCTGGTGTAACAATGGCTAATGTATATTTTCTTAGACCAATTTCATGTACATTACCAACATCACCAGATAATAAATTTAATGAATTTGCTGAATCTGTATGTTGGGTACGTGGGACAATAGCAATACGTGAAAATGATCAAATGCCATTAACAGATGAAGATTGGAATCAATTACGTGATAAAGCTGATATGTGTAAGTGATCATTATATATATATATATATATATATATATATATATATATATATATATATATATATTCATATAACACTGATTCCTTTATTGAAGTTAGTTAAGATATATGTACACTGACTTACGCTTGTTACTCTTCATGGAGAAGCGTAGGCCGTTTACCATCATTCTATATCCAATTCTGTCCTGGACAATTCTTCCCAGTTGTTTCTAATCACCATTCATCCTATTCGTGTCGATTTCTAATTCCCAATACAGTGTATTCATTAGCTTTAATCTATTCCGCTTCCATTCAAGATTCAAAGTTAACACTTGCTTTATGATTCAGTATGATGATTGCCGAAATATATGTCATATTTAATTTCATCATCTATTTCTTATTTCCTTTTTAACTGGAAGCCAGTTTATTCTCTCCTATAGAGTAGGCTGTTGCTAGTAGTATCCAGCCAACAACGGACAGTGAGTATCTTGTGTAGACAATTGTTCATAAATACTTGTGCTTTCTTGAAAATGGATGTAGTAGTTCTCAACTTTTCAGCTCTGTACAGTAGAACTAACTATCTTAACATTCGCGTTGAAGATTGTGACTTAGATATTGATTGACAAAACATATATGTATATCAATTTAATAATGAATAATACCGATAATATTCACTTTATTCAGTGTCATACATTTGATTACTATGAATAGTTCTCAGTAGAAAATGTACAAAATTCCAATGAAATTCCCTGTTTACCAAAGATTTAACACGTACATATCAAAAATTATTCACTAAAACTTTTGAAATAATGATTATCTGTCATTCATATTCATTCTTAAGTGTTTATGAACGATCTTACCGCATAATATCACTATTAAATCTAATTAAATCTAATTTAAATTGATTGAGATCATGAGTCAATTGAAGCTAGACCACCACCATGAAAAACCTTGAAGCACTGGACGGTCGTTTCGAATCATTGTGGAACTCTCCAGCAGCGCGCAACCATGATCTCGACTCCCGAGATTCGAACTTAGGACCTAAATGTCTCGCGCATGAGCTCTTAACTACTAGACCACTGAGCTGGCGTCCTGGGTTCGATTCCCGGGATCATGGTCGCACGCTGCAGGAGAGTCCCACAATGACACGAAACGGTCGTCCAGTGCTTCCAGGTTTTTCATGGTGGTGGTCTAGCTTTAACTGACTCATGTTCTCAACTACTGAAATTACTATAATATCCACAAAAACCCTTCTAATTAATACACTTAATGTATGAATTCTTTTGTTTCTGTAAAGAATAAATGAAGAGATCTATCTGATGAAATTTATACAAAGTTTGAAGACAATTCCTATAATTGAGTGACACTAGGTTGATAACATTTATATAAGTTTGTTTATTAAATTTTAAGACATGGATCCTTTGTTGTGATGGAGTTTAGATTAGTAAAGATGGACTTAAGACAATCTTTAACTTTCCACGATCTCGATCATAAACATCATATTCACAATAATTAAGTCTATCAATAAAGATCATCACAAATAGTTTAATTACTCGTTTAAAGTTTAGCTAACAACTGTTAATTATAAATTTAAAGTTAGCTATCCAGGATGTGCGTTTCGTCCTATCTGGGACTCGTTAGCTGGATGTACCTTCATCCAAGAGTTGATGTTCACTCCGGGACTCGAACCCAGTATCTTTCGCTTCAAAAGCTGTCGCGTTATCGGCTTAGCTACCAAGTGCGTATTCCGTTTCGTAAAGTTAGCTGACATCATAGGCTAACATCATACGGACAAACACTAATAACCAAAGAACATTAGATAGTTGTTTTATTGTCTATAGTGCATAGATATGCAGATCAAAACACTGAACCCATTTTTTTAACAAAGCAATTCATTTAAACCATTTCCTTCTCATTATCCATTAACTTTCACTATAACAAGCTGGTCAAAGTCAACTTACGTTCTGTACTTTATCAAACATAGTTCTACACTAATGATAGCAAAAATATCGAAACAAACCCACTCCATTTACTGTGACTAAGTGTATCCATAGTAATAGTTAATTTTTAATAAAAACCTTGTTAGTATGTAGTGATCTTTCAAATTCATTCTTATCAAGAGTAACACTTTAAATCACTGACGAGATTAGCTTTAATAGAAATATTTGACTTCCGTTTATATATATGATAGTATACCAAAACTGAGTAATATATCATTAATTCGAATCAAATCATTATAATTACCGATATTGAACGTTTAACTATAATGAAAGCCTAAAGCAACAAATAATTATATTCAAAACTAAATATCAAATACAATTGAAATGGTGAAAAATCAAGTGCGGACATCAAATCGTAGTAAACAGAGATGGATGTTGGCTAATAGCGGAATCCAAAACGCGGGTTTCGTCCTATTATGGACTCGTCAGATGGATGTAACTGGATTCCAGAGTTGATATTCACTCCAAGACAATTCCTAAATAAGATGAAACACATGTTTAGAACTCCACTGCTAGCGACCATCCATCTTCATTAACAATACTTATGACTGAAGGCAATATTGAGGCAATCCTCATAGGATGGAGAAAGTCCAAGCACAAGCTGAATACATAGAAGCAAACAAGCAAGTGAAGAGGAGCATTAGAGCCGACAGGAAGAAATACGTTGAAGAATTAGCAACGACGGCAGAAAAAGCTGCTAGAGAAGGAAATATGAAACAGCTCTACGATACAACGAAGAAACTATCAGGGAAATACAGTAAACCAGAGAGACCGGTCAAAGACAAAAAAGGCAAGCCAATCACTGAAATTCAACAACAGCGGAGCAGATGGGTAGAATACTTCCAGAAACTCCTGAATAGGCCGGCTTCAATGAATCCAGTGGACATCGAAGCAGTACACACAGATCTTCCCATAGACGTCAACCACCAACGAAGGAAGAAATCAGAAAGGCCGTCAGACAAATCAAGAACGGGAAAGCAGCAGGATCTGACAACATACCAGCTGAAGCACTGAAGTCAGACATCGACGTAACTACAAACATGCTTTACCTTCTATTCAAAAAGATTTGTGAGGAGGAACAAGTGCCGATGGACTGGAAAGAAGGACACCCCATCAAGATTCCAAAGAAAGGAGATCTGAGCAAATGTGGAAACTACAGAGGCATTACACTACTATCAACATCAGGGAAAGTCTTTAACAGAGTGTTGCTGAACCGGATGAAGGATGCAGTAGAGGCCCAACTTCGAGATCAACAAGCTGGATTCCGAAAGGATCGGTCGTGCACAGACCAAATTGCAACACTACGGATCATCGTCGAACAATCAGTTGAGTGGAACTCGTCACTATACATCAACTTCATTGATTATGAAAAGGCATTCGACAGTGTAGATAGGAGGACATTATGGAAACTTCTTCGACACTACGGAGTTCCTGAGAAGATTGTCAATATTATCCGGAACTCATATGACGGACTACAGTGCAAAGTAGTGCATGGAGGACAGCTGACGGATGCATTCCAAGTAAGGACCGGAGTCAGACAAGGCTGTTTACTCTCTCCCTTCCTCTTTCTTCTGGTGGTCGACTGGATTATGAAGACCTCAACATCTGAAGGAAAACACGGAATACAATGGACAGCTCAGAACCAATTAGACGATCTGGACTTCGCAGATGACCTAGCCCTCCTATCACGTACACACGAACAGATGCAGATGAAGACAGCCAGTGTAGCAGCAGTCTCTGCATCAGTAGGCCTCAGTATACACAAAGGGAAAACCAAGGTCCTCACATTCAAAGCGAAGAACAGCAATCCAATCACCCTTGATGGCGAAACTCTGGAAGATGTAGAATCCTTCACATATCTGGGAAGCATCGTCGATAGACATGGAGGTTCAGATGCAGACGTAAAGGCGAGGATTGGCAAAGCAAGGGCCGCATTCCTACAATTGAAGAACATATGGAACTCAAAACAACTTTCAACCAATATCAAAGTGAGAATCTTCAATACGAATGTCAAGGCAATTCTACTGTATGGAGCTGAAACTTGGAGAACTACAACAACCACAATCAAGAAAGTACAAGTATTTATAAATAGCTGTCTACGCAAGATACTCAACATCCATTGGCCGGATACCATCAGAAATAGCCTTCTGTGGGAGAGAACAAACCAACTTCCAGCTGAAGAGGAAATTATGAAAAGACGATGGAAATGGATAGGACATACATTACGCAAATCGTCAAACTGCATCACGAGGCAAGCTCTAACTTGGAATCCTGAAGGGAAGCGGAAAAGAGGAAGGCCAAAGAACACATTACGTCGGATAATAGAAGCAGATATGAAAAGGATGAATTACAACTGGAAGGAGCTGGAAAGGATTGCCCAGGACAGGGTTGGATGGAGAATGCTGGTGAGCGACCTATGCTCCTTCACGAGGAGTAACAGGTGTAAGTAAGTAAAAGTCATAGGATGGATATGTGCTAATAAAAGACTGATCAGTTGCAGTTCTAAAATCCATGAAAAGATCAAAACAAACAAATGAAAAATCACACAGTGGCTTAGTAAAATATGAAAATCATACATTAAATACATCATTTACACATTTTCGCGTTGGTCTTTACACACTCCATTCTTCCTCAAATCCTTTTGTCGTTTGAACTACTATCACATTTCATTCTTGTCCTCTTCATTGCAATCTTTTGCTGTCAGGAATTTCACTTCCGATCGGTGTTACATACTACTTATTTCTGTCAACGTAAATAACATACACCACACAATCTTTTATAAGTCTTATTTTTAGGTGAGAATATTTTTATTGCTGAAGCCCAAATATTTTTATTTAATTACTTTGCCTACTTATAAGTAGTTGAAGCTGACTTTTAAAAATATCATCGCTGCATAGTAGTATTTCTCATAAATTACAATATTCGGGGAATACACTGAAAACCCCCTTGTTGTTGCTTAAATACTCTTCAGTTTACAACGAGCGATGATTACAATTAAGTTGCAAATGTGCACGAGTGTATATGTAGTATGAGTAAAGCTGTATTCCTGACTAGAGAGAGATAGTTCAGTGAACAAACAGTAGTATTCAACAAAATATGTGTTCTTTTTTATATCTAAATAACATACAATTTGAACTTTATCAGGAGAACAAGAATATGTGAAAAATACTTGGAGAATGAATTGAATTCCAGAGAATACAAGTCGTATCAATTAAGAGTTTCAGTTCAAAGTTATTGTTCATTACTGTGACATTTTGATGTGTACCCCACAAGATTTCAAATAAACTTGACTATTGAGTATCACCATACAAGATACTATACTCTCAATTACTATCCAGATAAATGTACAAACTATACATTCTGTAAACATCAGGGGTGGTTAGCTAATGCCTCATATAAACGTGATCACGCCAAGACTTGATAAATCATGTTTTTGGTGGAAACTAACTATGTAAGTGAGGGTAAACAGTTATCCAATGTATGCATGGCATTTTTCCGACATTCAGCCATTTCACTCTGTTTGAATAGAAATGAATATATGAGTAAAATACTAGTCTCTCACAGTTTTTGTTACTCATGATCAATGCTTTGGTAAGAAATGTCTTTACTGAATACGCCTTGAAGCTAAAAATTCAAGTGAAGCAGTCTTGGCTAGTATGTAATATGTATTCAGCACAAGTAGGCTTTGATAAGAACCTGAAGGCTTAACATAAGTATGCGTCACCTTACCATATCACGTGAATATGAGACCATCATAATGTATAACAAATCAGTCAAAATAATAGTATTAGATGAAGTTGCGAAAAGAATTAAGGATAGATATTATGGTTGAAAAACAGAGCCATATAATAGATTGGACGTTTGAAGGGGTAATGAAATTGAATATCCACGTGAAGACAAGATATGAATAAATCGATTCCTCTGTAAAATGCCTTGAGTTAGTCACCCAAAGTCTTCAACAAATGATCATGGTTATTGCATAGATATAAACTGGGGTGTTTATTACAAACAATCATTGAATTTATGAAGCAATTGATTGTGTTAATTTGACCATTCAACAACGTTTCCTTCAGTGCACATAATAATAGGATAAGTTGGTTCATGAAGTAAATAAAACTTTATTAGTAATTAACTAACCAGAATTGAATTGTGATCTCAACTATTAAAATTACTATAATATTCACATAAACGGCTTCTGATATTAATCAACATATCCTCACTAGTGATTGGATTCAAGAGATATTTCTTGGAGTTCTAATGAGAAGTAGTGACCAGTGGAGTTCAACCGGGTCTGTTGTGACATAGTAAATGACTAATGACAATGGTGGATGTGTCGCTCAATTTCGTGGATTAGTTGAAGTTAGACATTAACAACGTTGTATGCCGGTCAGCTAAATGGTCTTGAGGTTAAGCGCTCGCGTATGACACTGACAGGTCCTAGGTTTAAATCTCGCGAAGTGGGATCGTGGATGCACACTGTTCATAAGTCCCACACTTTTACTACTGTAACTAAGTATTGCATCTAATGAGTGAATGAATGAATGAAGACCTTCTGATTCCCAGGGCAGAGTTTAAAAGGTTTGAATATTTCTTTCTGTTTAGCTTTTTTTAGCGAGTTAGTTTTCTACGGGATGGGGTCGCCAACCCCATACCCAACCCTCCTCCTTTATCCGGGTTCGGGACTGTCAGTAGCCCCCGGAGGGACTCCAGGTGCAGTTAAGTATTACATCTACTTTAAACATATTCATCATTGAAATTCTTTCCCCATACTATATAGTGTCTCATTCCTTTCTTTATTATTTTCTTCTCTTTTTTTTTAAATAAAGCCTTCTATCAATGGGTTCCATTCTGTTTATCAATACAAGCCATGTTATTTTTTATACCACATATTATATGGCAATCATTAGCAACACATTTATTAGGTGAAAATTTAGAATCTATATTAGATATGGCATATAAAGCAAATACAGCAGATGATTATATAAAACGTCAAAAATTTGTTGAATCAGCTGCATATCAATTATTTCGTTTAAGTTGTCAACATTATAATAATCATAATCATCCATTAACAAAATGGTCGAAAATTCAACAAAAATATTCAAACTACTCATTAAGTAGTTTATTTATTATTGGTAAACATATTGGTAATTATATATCAATCATATATATTATCATTAAATTATTATATTTAATGAATTTAATTGGACAATTATATATTATCAAAACATTATTAGGTTACCATGGTAACTTGTATCATTTTGGTAATCAATTAATATTAACTTTAAAATCAAAACATGAATGGATTGAAAGTGAATTTTTCCCAAGGCAAACATATTGTCCAATACAAGTACGTCATCTTGGTACTAAAAATAATTTATTTACAGCAATTTGTGCATTACCAGTAAATATGTTCAATGAAAAAATTTACATATTTTTATGGTTATGGATATTATTTGTTACAATGATTACAATTATTAGTATCATTATATGGTTAATACGTTTTATTATCAAAAATTGTCAAACTACTTATATACAACATTATTTAGTAGTATCTATACAATCACAATTATTAGATAAATATTTTAATCATTCATTTGATTGTGATGGTTGTAATATACAATTAAATGATATACGTATACATCAATTTATTGAAAAATTTATTAAAAATGATGGTTATTTTTTAATACATATGTTACGTGATAATATTGGTGATATAATCACTGGGGAAATATTAAATCAATGGTGGCATATGTTTATTGATTATCATAAAGCATATATTAATAGAGAGAAACAATTAAAACAAAATGAGCATAATAATAATAATAATAATAATAAAGAGAAACAATATGATTATATGAATATAACATTAGATAATGATACAATATTAAATCCGAATTCAGATCAATCCAATGGCAATTTTGTTTAAAGCAATGCAATGCTCATAGTAACCATAGAAACCACAACAACAAATGAAATGGTGGTAACTTTGTTTAAATTAGATACAATTTTCTATATGGAATACAACTATGATTAGGTGAATAGATCATGATCAACTTTGTTTTTGTTTTTTTTTTCTTTTTTATGAATGTCATCAAAGTTTTGTTAAATGAATTATGTAACCATGTACAACTGAAAACAACCAAGTATTGATCATTTTATGTCATTTCATTTTTTTTAAAAAAAAGATTTTATTTCCTTTGAGAAAATGGTATTCACATAATATTTTAATAGATCATTTTCATTGATAAATTAGATAGTAATTCATAAAATATAGTTTAGTGTATTTTGGGACCATCGAGTAAGTAACACAGTTGTTAGGAAACGGGTACTAGGTAAGGATGGCAAGTCAATTGATGAAGTGATGAAACTTCATCAATTAAGATGGCTGGGACACGTGTTACGTATGCTCAACTACCGACTGCCCCAACATGTGATGTTCAATGGTGTAGAAGTAGGTTGAAAGAAAGCTAGGGGTGGCCACATCAAAACATGGCACAAATGCATGAAGTCACTGACAAGTGAACTGAACCATGATGGTAGATGTAGACTACCTGGTTAGGATTCGCGAGACGATAGCAATCGATGGTTAGAGACCTTGAGTGACATGGCTCAAAATCGTTTGCAATGGCGCAGGTGCATCCACTCTTTGTGTTCTCCCAAATTCTAATCTTCTGAATTCTTCATGTCCCTTTCTTTTGTCTCTTTCCAAATTTATTTAACTGGATTATAGTTCTTGAATAACATCTTTAAACCCTAATCTTTCCTATTATTGCTTATGCTTTTACTACATCTACCACTATAGGATTTGAATGGACAACTGCATCTCTGTGCTAATGTGGTGTGGCAACTCGAACTGATGTACGTAAATACGAAGTTCTACATTGTTACTGACGGACTGGTATGATTGACTTTGATACTTACTTACACCTGTTACACTTCATGGAGGAGCATAAGCCACTCATCAGCATTCTCCATTCAACTCTATTCTGGGTAATTTTTTCCAGGTGCTATTCATTCTTTTCATTTCTGTTTTTAATTATCAAAGCAGTGCGTTTATTAGTCTTGCACTCTTTCGTTGTTGTTCAGGATTCCAAGTTATAGCTTGCTTCGTGATGCAGCTTGGTGATTCCCGTGATGTATGCTCTATCCACTTTCAACACCTATTCATTATTTTCTCTTTAATCTGAAGCTGGTTAGTTCTCTATCATAGTGGTTTGTTATCAATTTTATCCGGTCAATGGATATTGAGTATCTTCTGTGGACAATTGTTTATAAATGCTTGTACGTTTTTGATGATAGTTGTGGTAGTTCTCGAATTTTTAGCTCCATACAGTAGAGCTAACTGTCTTGACGTTCGTATTTGTTGACAGTTGTCTTCAATTGTAGGAATACTGTCTTTGCTTTGCCAATTCTCGCATCGATATTATTCTTCGGAAATTCTAGCAGTGCTATTTAAGACGAGTTAACATATTTGATCAAGTGAAGTGAAAGATGATTGATAGATTGCTAATCTGTACAAAGACTGGCTGAAACATTCATCATGAACGGGACGTTACCATCAATAACGTAAATACTAGACCACGTTAATGTGATCAAGATGAATCGTTTGAGACTTGATGCTGGATGCTGAATGAAAACCCCTATCATTAAATTTTTTATTGATTCACCTTTTCCACCGTCACTCTCTGTGGAAACAAGTTGAGCAGATGCACATCTTTCATAACTTCTTACCAAGCCTTACAATTAAAAGATCAATATATTTATTCTGATCGTTTGAATAATTGTGGTTGTTAGGATTATAGTATACGTATACGAAGTTGAGGATAAAGTTATTGATCATAGTTGTAGCAAGTATTCACCGTAAATAAATAATATGCAGCGGCAAACAACTCACCAAAATTAATAGTTCTGTAAGTCATCGAGACTAATGCTTACCTCACTAGTTTTACTGATAACATTCTAGCTGAAGAGGTTTGATCACGCGTACACACCAGGTCATGAGTGGGTACGCCATGATAGGCATCACTAGCAACAGCTAGCCAGCTTAAATGACATGCTTCTCGAGATGCCGAATATCTTCTAAATGCACCTTCAAAATCACTCATTCCTGACTTCTGGTTTGACTGGGTTTGGGATCTTTCGACCATAAATCTGTTACAGACAAAAATGAATTCAAGCCATGAATATTCGTGCTAACTTTAAATCTATTCAAGACGTGTATGTGTGAAGGATAATGTAATAACACAGTGAGTAAACCATCATTGAAACTTACGAATAATATTCAAACTGAGATAGGCAATTAAATTATTGAGACTAAAGTAGAATGAAATGGTAAGTGAACATATAAAGACAATATTCACAGATATTTCCATAGGAACGTAGACAAAATTGATGATTGTTATAAGCTGGTTGTTGGCTAAGGTTATGGGAAGGAAAAGGACAAAATAGGGTACTTTTGTATGTATATGATTGGTCAAAACATCCTCGTATTGATTCCCCAGCTGTGCTAATAAAGCGGGAATGTAAAACACTGGATGATCCACTGGAACGTCTAATATGATGTTGGTTTCTAGGATCTCGTTGATTTCGTATCCGCAGAATGAGACAATAATAAACGTTTGGTGGATTCTTTCAGTCCTTCACCTAGCCACATTGTACAGGTTTCAACAACGTGATTATGTGGTTGCCATGTCGTTCTGTCTTTGAACTGTATCCACATGATGAGTAACAGTGTAAGTTGACAAACATGAAAGTCTACCTCTAACTTGGATCAGAATTATATATTAATTTCAGGCCAGGCTCAAGATGTTGAGCTTTAGTAAGCAAAGGACAGTCTCTAAACCATGCCATGAAGGTATTTTCGCTGATGGATTATTGTAAGATCAAATCTTTTATGAAATGTACGTTATAAAATTTGGTTTTTAAAGAAATGTGAAAATCCGAAAATCCAAAAGCCCTAAACTGAAGCAAAGATGGATTGTATTCACTAACAGAACTAACCTCTAATTAAATAATGCATTAGGGAGTCCGACATAAAATTTTCTGTGTCTTATTCCTGGTGTAAACATATACGCCGAGGTGCAGGTACATCAAGATGTCGAATTTCAAATATGAATACAGAAGCATCTTGAATACCACTGTTAGCCAGAATCCATCACTACTTAAGATGCATGTGACTTAATATAAAGACGATCAGCACATGAAACACATATCCCAATAAAGATTTATCAATTACAATCATTAACATCAACAACTGGAACATTCGAATAACCATTAAAAATAATGTGCTTGCGTACGTCCATTCTTTTGATAAATCCTTGTCTACGAATGACATAAAAACGATTACTATGGTAGATCGTCACACCTATCTTAATGATGATTACTGTTTTGAGATGATCTGAATAGTCTCAAGAAATTGTTTTTGTTCATCAAGTTACGAACTCATAAAAGTGGTGGAGTTCCGCGACTTCTGTCAAAGGTAAATTCGTTGTGATTGTGTTTGACGCTTATCCGAATGCTTCAGTAAAATATTTTCTCCCGACAATGGTAAAAGACCAGCGACAAGTTCTGGCAATAGTGTTCCAACGATACGTAGTGAATTTACTAAGACTGGAGTTCATCAACGACTTTAACATCTCAAATAGAATATATATTCCAGTGGTAGGATCTATGATTAATATAACTGGCAAACAATCGACAGTTCTATTTAATATGTCTCTGGATCGGTCATAAATTGCTGATGAACTAGAAGAATGTAATAATTGGCTCGGTCCTTGAAGCCGACGATGAATTGTGATCATTAAACATCGCCCAATTAATTTAACTATTACTGTTTTAATTAACGTAAACGATCTTCCTCAATGTTATTATACTTTGAGTTAAAGGAGAGATATTTTGGCATGAAAATAACACGGTATTAGAGTAGACCTTTGAGGCTTAATGGATCACCTTGTTGTGAGAGATTAGGTTGTTACGAAAAATATGAATATTCGGGTGTGCAGTGACTCACGTTTATCACGAGAACACGACTGGTTTAATAAAAACAATTATTATTATAACCAAGTGTACCAGTGACTGTTGTAATGTGCTTTTGTTTAACTGTGCTAATTATAGCCATTTTGTGCTTTCATTACCTTCCATCATTGTTCCGCGGTTTTTGGTACTGTTCGCACGTACTCCTGTCTTCTGCTTTCGCTTGTACCTTTTCTTGGCACTATCTCGGTATTCGTTCAATACCACGAGATCGCCAACGAAATAAATCTGGTTACGTTCAATCCTCGCCTTCTGATTTATCTGGCACGTGTTTCTTGGTAGCGGTGTTCACAGTTAATCTCAACTCGACGCCACGCTACAATTGGTGAACCCAAAGTTTGGAACACGCCTTAACTTCTGGGCAAATCTTCCAAAGAAGCCAATTCAAGCCCACGCCTTCGACCACCTCCGTTTGGTTCCGTCGACTTCAGTCAACTTTGGCGAAAGCTGGCCTGATCACCCACGCTCTTGTCAACGTACTCAGTCAATATATTGGTTTCGAATGCTTGACATACACTTGGTCTCGAACTTGGTCGTTATGGTCGCTTCTGGTTCATCGGCTCAACGTGGTTTCGTCCTACGTCTGCAGCGTTTCTGGTCCGGACCCCTACGAACGCCCTCTTCAGATTCTGGATACAAACCACTCTGGTGTAGCATGCCAACTCAAGCAACACATACAGCACATCGCTACTGGTACCGTTCTCCGAAAACGACCTTCGTTGGCAACTCGACGATCAACGATCGCTTTCCTGTTCGCCAGTTCTTCCGTCCTACAATCGCTCGTCAGCCGATCAGTCCCACGATTCAAACCGTTATTTATCGAAAGTGTTAACCCTTTCTAGCGGGGCGCTCCTGTGGTGACTCACGTTTATCACGAGAACACGACTGGTTTAATAAAAACAATTATTATTATAACCAAGTGTACCA